AAACAGCATGGACTAAATATGGATTCATGTTGGACAAAATTGGACTGCAGTGCTCATCCTGACTGACAAAGTCACTTGCTAGCTCTATGGTATTGCTAAAGCTCAGATTCCTTATCTGTATAGTGGGTGTAAATAATAGACGGCCTGCCTGAGGATTATTGAGACAAGAAACTTGAAAGCCCTTTGTGGACTGCAAGCTTTGTGAACCTTTCTGTGAGTTCTACCATTAATTTTTTTGGGGGGGTACCAGAGATCGAACTCGGGTCCTTGCGCTTGTGAGGCAAGCAGCGGAACCACTGAGCTAAATCCCCAGCCCTACCATTAATTCTTAAATGGGCAACACAGTTGGTTTTAGCCATTATCATTGATGACTTATGCTAGAAAGAACAAAAAATAAAAATTAGAAAATACAACAGGAACTGTCAATCAAGCAGCCCAACTTCACCTTGACCCAAAGAAGTCACTTTGAACATAGGATGGTTGCATTGCTCCACAGGAGTCTTTGGAGGATAGTGATACAGGAATGGCAAATGGCAGGGACAAGTCTTGTGGTGCAAACTCTTTATACAGAAGGAAATTGAGAACATTTGTTCCTCCTCTTCTGTAGTAGTATCAGTCACAGCAAGATCCAGTAACTGGAAAAAAAAAAAGAATTTCAGTACCTGCTGATAAAATGAGCCACTGGCCCTCCAACCTTCACCCTCAGCTGCTTGGTCCGGCAGCAGAAGACCCCTCAATCTGGATGAGTTTGGGCTTATCATTTCAAGTCCTGCCTCTCTTCACCTGCCTGCTGGGGACACAAAGAGAGCCCTCCCTGCCCGGTTATTGTGTGAGCCTCAAGTGAGGTCACGTATTTGAAAGACTGGTAAACAGCAACTGTTTACAAAGCTGTCTGCATGTGAATAATCGGTAAGTATGTGAGATAAATATGAAGGCAATGCAAGGACAACCCATTTTGGGGGCCCTGTACTAGGCAGAAGAAGTTTCTGTTTAAAAACAAACAGGGCTGGTAATGCCTTCCAGGAATTGATGCAGCCACAGGGAGAGGGTGCTAGATTGCGGTTGAACTTTGGGATTGTACACAACAGCTTTGAGATTCAGGTTTGAATCCTGCCTGCATCACTAATGGTGACAATTTGCATACTCTTAGGCAATTTATTTAATCTTTCTGAGCCTGGTATTTCTCTATAGCAGGAGAATAACTACAGCATCTACCTTTCTGGAGTTGTTATGTTGATTATTGAGATAATGCACTTAAAACAATCTGCACAATGCCTCGCTCAGTTCTGTTACCAATGTCAGTTGTATTTTCAGTACGTAGGTGGGCTGAGGAAGGAAAAAGAGAGAGTGAATGTTTTAACTCGCAAGTTATTTCAGTTTGGCTTCATGCCATGTGTCCTTGTCACCTAATGAAATATATCAACATTGTACACACTAGCAAGAACTGGAACATCATAGGGAAAAGGAGAACAGTATTGTCAAGTATGGTGGTGATAAAAGAAATGGTTGCTTTTCCTTTACTTTTTGTCACAATATCCTTTGCATAAGTAATACAACTTTTTTTTGTTTTGGTAAAGTCAAAACAAAACAAGCTTTTGTGTGGTAGCTTTTGGGTGTGAGGATGCCTTAAAGATCAGAAGTCTTAAGCAGTAGAGACAAAGTCTGCAACTTACAGAAAGAAAAGTCAGATGTTAGAGTGACAGATTCTCACTGCAGTGAGGAGCTCCCTCCTGGGGCCTGAATGCACCTCCATGAATACAGAAGGCACTCTGCAGCTCTTACCTTTCTCTTCCCAGCTGCTTGTCCTGCAGCCAGCTTGGCCAGCCATGGCTTCAGCCCTTGGTCCTGGGTTCCCTTCACCTCTGCTCCACTGTTCCATGGCCTCTGCTCAATATTATCTCCTTCCAGAGTTCTTGTCACTCTGTCTCATTATCTTCATTCTTTTCTTCACAGCATTTATATGTTATCTAAAAATCGTCTCTTTTGTTTACATGCCCATTGTGTGCCTTTCTTTCTATAGAAGGTAAGCACTGTTAGGCAAGAGACATTGTTCCACTTGGTCACACTATCTCTAGCCTAGAACACTAGCAAGGCACTCAGGAGGTATTTGACAATAAAGGAACTACTGAATACATGACAATTGCTAATGATGGGGAAGGGCCAGGCCAGCTGTGTCCCAGCTCCCAGCTGACAGAAAAGGCGATGTGCTAGACCTTGGCCAAACTTCAGACCTTTTGGCCCAAGAACAATTGGTAGCCAGAGCCAAGCTGTATGTAGTGGTTGGAATGAGACTTATGCCAATAGCAGAAACCTTTAGTTTGGTATCAACATTAGCATTGTGCATCTGTAAGCATACACCTGCTGGTATGCCTTGGCTTTGAGGCAGTAATGGATATAAGGGTTAAAGACCACACTGTTCCCAAAATAAAAAATAAAAGACAAAATCTAGTGCATAAATGTAATCCCAACATTCTGAGAGGCTGAGGCAGGAGTATCACATGTTCAAGTTCAGCCTGGGCAATTTAGCAACTTAATGAGACCCTGTTGCAAAATAAAAGAAAGAAAGAAAAAAATCTAGCTCAAGGGAAATAAATTCTTTTTTGTATTTTGGGGGGGGGTTGGGGGGGGTAGTACTGGGGATCAAACTCGGGACCTTGTGCTTTCAAGGCAGGCGGTGGAACCACTGAGCTAAATCCCCAGCCCTGGGAAATAAATTCTTGGGAAATTTTACAGCTCCTTTTGATTCGACCCACAGTTTTTGGATCAAGTCCTATAACAGGACGAACAAGCCTCAGTGTGTATCTCATAGAAGTGGCAATAATGAACACAAAGCAGAATGAAGAAAGAGCAATGAAGTAGCACTAAGCACTCTCTCTCGGAGGACCAAAGGGATTCAGAAGCCCCACCTGAAATGATCAACCCGGGAAGACTCTGGCCTGGTATTTCTGTCAAAGTGAAAGTGCATCCTGTAGAGAAATCTACAGCCCAGCCCTCCATGGAGTAACCTTTCCAGCCTCCAGCTATCATAGATCTGACCCGCTTTGCTGCCCCACGAACGATGGCAGGTCTGGGAACAGACCCAGATCTGCCAATGGGCAAACTGCTTCCCGAAAGATGCTTTGCAGTTTGCCGAGAGGATAGAATTGTGAACTATTCAGTTCCTTGAGGAGAAGAACTTGTTCTTCTGACCACAGTTTGGGCAGTTCAGAGGCTGCCTGGCAGAATGCAAGACTTCTTGTTTCCATTTGGCAGGTGAAGGTGAGGCTCTGAACTCCAAGGGAAAATATAACAGTGTCTCTGCTTAGCCACAGACCTGTTCTTAGAAAGGTTCCACCTAAGAGCTTTTGCAGACACTTTTATAATAATTTTTTTTTAAGTTGTCGCCATGTAGCCCAGGCTGGCCTTAAATGCATAATTCTCTTGCCTCAGCTTCATGAATACTGGGATTACAGGCATGCACCACTATGCCTGGCTTCTAATAATAATTTTTTAATATTCCACCTTCTCATGTTAGGCTCACGCAGCACTGTTCACACAATAGAGCCTGGAATATAACCTCCATCCAGTAGTTTGGGCAAACAGCCAATGCTGTAGGGTCCACACATCTGAGTTCAGTCCTATGCCACACTGCCCCTTCATTAAGCATTCCCCTCCTTACTCCATATGCCTCAGTTTTCTCATTTGCAACCTGAGCAACTGAACGAAAGCAGTGTCTGGCAAACAGCAAAGTTCAATTCATTATTAAACAAAATCAAAGCCAAACATGGTGCTACCTGCCTGTAATCCCAGAGCCCTGGAAAGCTGAAGCAGGATTGCAAATTCAACCCCATCCCAGGCAATTTAGTGAGATCTTATCTCAAAATAAGAAATCAAAAGAGCTGGGGAGTAGCTAAGTGTGCAAGCCCTGGGTTCAAACCCCAGCAACACAATAAGTATGCATACATTCGTACAGTGGGTTGAAACCAATTTTTTAAAAGTGAGACGGGGACTAGGGATTCAGCTCAGTGGTTACACTGCTGCCTGCCTTGAAACCACAAGGACCTGAGTTCGATCCCCAGTAGCAAAAAAAAAAAAAGAAAAGAAGGGCTGGGGATTTAGCTTAGTGGTTTCGCCACCTGCTGTGCAAGCACAACGACCCGAGTTCAGTCCCCGATTCAAAAAAAAAGTGACACAGAATAGTATAAAATATAAAATGCCAGAGTGTGTGGGAGTTATTAAGTATTGTCTTTTTCTTTTTTCTTTTTGTTTAAGATAGTCTTCCTATAAAACCCAGGCTCCAGGCTGGCCTTGAACTATGTTGCCCACTCTGGCCTTGAACTCTGTTCCTGCTGAATGCTAAGATTACAAGCATGTACCATCACAACTGACTTTCAGTATTGTCTTGTGAAGTTTATTTCATCCACAAACACAGAGGTGGCGATATCAACACAAAATACATTTCCCACTATGGGTTACTCTTAGAGGAAAAGGAAGCTCGAGACATACTAATTATAGCGGGTTTTTCAAGGCTCAGAAACAGGGATATAGACCATGAACAGGGCCGTACTATTCACTGCCTAACTACTCATCTCCCATTGTTGGCCTGAGACGGAGCCTGGCTCCACACGAACATGCAATTTGGCTCAACTTTCTAACCGTGGATACGGTGACCTAGAAAAGGAGACACTCAGTGCAGTGTTTATTGTCCAACATGACATCATCTGAAAAGCATTGCGAAAATAATAATATTATGATCAGTGAGTGAAGGCTTGCTCTGTGCCAGGTTCTGGGCAAAGTAAATTACATACACTTCAGCTCATTCTCACAAGGTATATGCTACTCGAGGTCTGCAATACTCGTTTTTGGGAAATGGAAACTGACACACAGAGAAGTTATAAAGTGGCCTTCCAAAGCCACAGAACTGGTAAATGATCGAGGTAGCATAGGAGCCCTTATCTGTCCATCTCTGGAGTCTTTTTCATTACATACTTTTTCCACCGGTCTCAGATGCTTTGCAGCAAAGTGGCTTTGAAACCTCAGTTCATACCAGCCCATGATGTATAAGTAACCAAGTCCTCCCCAGCCTCCCTCTGACCCATGGTTGGTATAAATGAGTTGTTTACATTTCTAAAGGAGCAATCAAATGCTCTTCTTGCAGTCCAGAGGGGGATGCTCCAGAAGGCCTGAATTAAGCTGAGATGTCTAATTTAGAGCTTTTTTTTTTTTTTCCTTAACAGTCTCACTCTGCAGCCCAGGCTGGCTTCAAACTCAAGGCAATCCTCCTGCCTCAACCTCCTAAGTGCAAGGATTACAGGAGTGCTCCACTACACCAGGCCTAATTTGGGGACATTCTTAATATACAAAATTTCTTCCAGAACAATCAGTCCTTGGAGATTTCCCAAAATTGCCAGAGATTAGACAGAAAATTCCATCTCCCTGGTGCTTTACAGCATCCATCACTTTCCCCTTTCCTTACCTATGCGTATACTTCATTTATGGGCTGTTTGGGTATCCCTTACTATCCAAAAAAAAGTCCTCTTATCATTTGAATACATACAACTGCATTTCACTACTTCATCCGTGAATTCACATCTGGCCAGTGACATTGGTTAATAACTTGTTCAGTGTACCCAAGAATACAAAAAGACATTCATGTACCAACTTTCTTCATATTAGAGGGATTGTTTTGTTTTCTTTGAGGTACTGGGGATTAAACCCAGTGAGTGACCTCCCCAGCTTCTTTTAATTTTTTTTTTTTTTTTTTTTTTAGAGGACAGAGAGAGAGTCTCCCTAAATCACTACATTCCCCAGGCTGGGCTTAAATTTACAATCCTTTGGCCTCGGCTCCTGGAGTGCTGGGATTACAGGCATGGGTCACTGCACCCCATTTAGAAGTTTTAGAGTTTTTTAATTCACCATCCAGATTACAACATATCCACTACCCTACAGTTCCAAGGAAATTAGTCAGATCTTAAATTAAACTTTAACCTTGTTTCAAGTTAAAAATACAATTTAGCACATTAGTTTCATATGTTCCTATTTCCTGGCCTCAAAGTCTCTAACAGCTCTGAGACTGCAATAGTTGAAGCCCAATTTAGCACTCAATAGCCAACACAGCATCCCCAGCCCCCAGGCAAGGTGACTGGAGTGATCCCTTTGCTCCCACAAAGTTGTATACAATTTGGGGGGCTGGTTCCTCCATCCCTGAAGTTCCCTTGGGGAGCATCTGCATTGTATTCCTATTCAATCTGATGTCTATCTCCTCAGGTGCAGGCTAAGAGTTCCAGGACACAGTTAACCTTCAGTAAATGAGGTCACACTGAATTACTTTTTTCTTGAGACAGAGTCTCACTATGTAATTTAGGCCAGCATTAAACATGCTAAGTAGCCCAGGGTATTCTCCAATATGAGATTATCCTGTCTCAGCCTCCTAAGTGCAGTGATTGCAGGCCTACACCACCATGCTGGGCTTTTCAATTGAAGCATAATATGCATGTAGACATGTGCATAGTTATAAATGTTCAAATGTTCATATAGTGGAAGATAACATATCTAGAACTCTTAGAAGTCCTGCACTGTGACTCTCTCTCTCTTCAACTATCTTCTGTCTTCTATCCCAACTCCTGACTTGTAACCCAATAGGTCAGCTTGTCTAGTTTTTTTAACTTGCTATGAATAGAATCACAGTGTGAATACAGTAGGAACTCCTGGTTTTGGCTTTTTGCACGTGTGTGTGTGCATGTGTGTTTGTCTCTCTTTACATATGTGTTTCTGGGGATGCAACACAAAACATGTTAGGCAAGTGCCGTATCCTTGAGCTACACCATCAGCCCCTGTTTTGGGTTTTGGGTTAAACCCTGTTGGTGAGCTTTAGTTGTGGTGTTGTGTGGCACTGGTTACTTTGCTACAAACCATTCCACTCGGACTATGCTGTTACTTGTCTATTCTATTGCCGATGGACATTTAAATTGTTTCTAATTCGGGGCTCTTATAAACAGAGTTTCCATCAACATTCTTATATATTTCTTTGATGAGTATTTGCCTAAAGGCACAATTGTTCAGCATTAGTCAATACTGCAAACAGTTTTAAGAGTGGTTGTAAAAGCTGACACCTTCAAATAAATTGTCTTTTCTTTTTAAAAAATAAACGAAATAAAATAAAATAAAAACTGTTCATCAAAAGATACCATCAAGGGACTGAAGACACAGAGCAGAGATTCTAAAATTCAGAAAATTGTGAAAATACAAAGACCCCCCAATACCATCCAGACAACCCTGAAGAATAAAGTTGGAGGTTTTGCACTACTATCTATTATAAAATTATCGTAATTATGACAGTGTGGTGTTGGCACAGATAGAGGAGTGGATTGGAAGACAGAAGCAGACTCACAAATACAGGCCACTTGATTTATGACATTGGTGACACTGCACTTCAGAAACCAAAGGATGATGTTTTCAATACATGGAGCCAGATCAACTGAATAAACACATTATTTTTTAAAAAACTAACCACATATTAAAATTAATTCCAGATGGATTGTGGATCTATATGTTAAAATATTTAAAGTAAAACAATAATGCTTTGAGGGATATATATATATATTTAAAGTGAAATAATAATGCTTTGTAAGATCCATATATCATATACACACATGTATGAGTGCATGTACACATACTCATGTGTATATAGTAGAATGCAACTTGGGATAAGAAATATTTCTTAAACATATTAAACACTAGCCATAAAGGAATAAAATTTATAAATTGGATTACTTTTATTTATTTTTTGGACTACTTTAAAATACGAGGAGTATTTCCCTTTTGAATGGCCTCTCTCTCTTCCCCTTCCTCCACCTTCAAATAAATTATCTTTTTTTTTTGGTACCCGGGGATCAAACTCGGGACCTTGAGCTTGCAAGGCAAGCGGCAGAACCACTGAGCTAAATCCCTGGCCCTGTCTTTTATTTTAAAAATAAATAAAATAAAATAAGTATTGTTCATCAAAAGACACCATCAAGTGACTGAAAACACAGAGCAGAGATTGAGAAAATATATTTGCAAAAGTATATCCAACAAAACCTGGGCATGGTGGCATGCACCTGTAATCCTAGCACTCACAGGCTGAGGCAAGAGGATCACTGCAAGTTCAAGTCCAGCCTGAACTACTTTGTGTGAGACCCTTTCTTAAAA